AAGAGGGAGAAGCGCGAACAACTAAACCCCGAGACCACCACATGAATTTACACCAGATGTGTAACAGTACAAAAGTGTGTGAAATTCTGGTAAGCAAGTTTCCAGTTGGCACATAAATTTATCTTATGCACATAGACATGTCTGAGTAGCAATTCCTTAGCATGGGTCTGCAAGAACTTCAAATCAAGTGGCACCAACACTGAACTGCTCCGGAACTACATCTGTCTTGTGATGTTGTAAAGAGTAAGAAAGGTGGGGGGGGGAAGGCATCCAGGCATATGAAATAAACAGAGAAGTCACCAAACATTGGCTTCTCTCTTTGAAGCATTTCAAATGACTAGTGGTTTAAATTATGATTAATTAACTGTTTCAGCCAGGAAATGGTGCCAAGTAGCAACCTGCCCTACAGCACAGATAGCTGAGGCTAATGGAAAGACCTACGATGGAGCACTGTGAGAGAGCGCATTTGTAGTGCTGAGTTCCAGTCTCACATGCAACACCATTTTAAAGGCAGAAGCTACTCACAAATTGGCATTTTTTCGCTTTCTTAAACATGCAAGAAATTCCAACTAAGAAGACAAATTCTTTTCTAGAAATATAAAGACAAGTTACCTAGTATTCATTTTGTGTGTCTGAAAACCTAAATAGGGATCAAGAACCAAACTAGTCGCTAGGTCATCATTTTCACAGAGCTCCTTGGCAGACATTCCAGAGGAAGGCACATAACGACTTTGACCCTCAAATCCTGAAGCACCGCTACCTGTGAACAAGAGAGCATAAATTAGGTATCATCTAAGGGACATTATAAAGCCCAGCAACATTTGGGGACAGACAACCACAGGTTGGAGGCAAAAAATATAAAACAATTAAGGAAGATGATAAAACACCTATAGAAGCAGAGGCACAGTTAATTTTTCCCTCTTGCTTTTGTTGATTTAGGTAGTGGCCAATGAAGAAAGTATTTTAGATCTGAGTAAAGGACTTAGGACTTTGAATTTGTGTTAGGTCCTTCATCCCAGATCAACAGCAAAAATGAAACCCCATATTCCTTAAAACCATTTCACAGTGATATCGATGTATGTGACTTCATTAAAAAATGGTGTTTCCTTCTACAAGCGCATTCACCAAAAGTTGGGCTAGTACTTCAAATTATGTTATCCACTTCAAATCATACTTGTTTTTACTTAGGGCCAACCATGTATCTTATAATTATACGAGTTCAAAATTAATTTGCACCCAGTTATTCTTACTTTACTTTTAAACTGATCTGAAGGGAGTTAACACATCCAAAAAATACAAACATAATTAATACTTGTGATGTTAGCTCCATGCTGACTGCAGACCTCCCTGATGAATTAAGATAAGACAGAAGTATGACTTGCAAACTGATTAATTTATCACATACAGCACGAAGCAGCATAAACATGTACATACATCTGCTTGATCTTCTCTCGACCCCGTTTTTGCCTGTCTTTGGATTCTCCTTTCCCGCATGTTGCAACTTGGTCTGCGCGTGGTCATTAGACGACTTGCTTCCACTTCTCCTGCCATTCACCACCATGTTCTTGGATTCTCCCAGCCACTTCATACCCACAGACAATCTGACTCAGTTGCATTTAGTCACTTTTCAAAAGGCTTGGAGAAGTGGATGAATAAATTCAGTTCCAATTCCTACTGGAAGTAAAACAAACGTGATTAGAACTTACTGGGAAACTGTTTTTAACAAAAATAATAACACCCCATAATAATAA